GTGAACATTGTTGAAAAATAGTAGAAACCATGCCATGGAAATTAGAAGAAAAATTTATTCTGGTGTATTAAGCATGTGTACTTATGTATGTATATGTGTATATGGGTATTTCCTAACTGGCGTTATGTGACGCTCGTATGACAAAATGTAAAAATAAAAAAAATGAAAAAGTCAAAATTTTAAAAAGGTTTTTCTAGATTTGCATAGCAATTAAATGTATCCTTATTCAGTAAAAGAATTACAACTATTGGTACTAGCGATTTAAAGATATTAGTAAACATACGCGCTGGCGTGACGTTACGAAAAACAGAAGTGAAGTTTGACTTGGGTTACATAGTTGCAAAACTTTGCGAATTGGACAAGACTATTTCTATATAAAAGTTTTCGTAGTAAGCAGCCAAATATAGAGGTATTTTAATTGTTTTACGCGGTAGACTTTTTGCTGCAATCGCCCATTTGTATGTATGTAAAATGTTTACATTTAGGGTATTCGACAAGTTTTTGAAAGAGGCGTAATGCCTTAAAATATTAAATTGTTTTGAAAGTATGTACGTAAGATCACAGCTACCACGTTTTAAGAGGGTTTTAGACTTCGTCGAAATATTTTTTTACCAATACTTCGTATTTGCTGAATGCAAGTGGCACATACAAAAATTGATTTCACCACCTCACAGTGATCTCTGAGTTGAAAGGAGGTGAGTTAAGCTGAGTTGAAGTTAGGTGAGTTAAGCTGAGACTAATTCATGCTTGAAACACAATATCCGGCGTACGGCGAAGTTCAGACAATCCGTTCTTGAAATATTGTTGCCGAAGTAGTTAGTCAAAGATTATAAAAATCGAGCCAGCCGTTCTTCAGTCATAAATGTTCTAACCAACCCGACTAAATAAAAATAATTACAATGACTTGCAGCTGTAATTTTTTTGTATAAGCCGATAAAAGCAGTGTTGCAAGAAAAAATTTTATTTGAAGCTAAATCGGTGGTAAAAGAGCTAAATAATACTAACAGTGGCTAAAATGAAGAGCTAATTTTTTTTTTGAGTTGAGGAGCTAAGAAAGTGCTAGATAATTTTGAAAAGAGCTAGGAGCTGAAGCCCAATTTTCTCAGCTAAATAGAAAAATAAAGAATTAAATTTAGCTTCAAAAGCACCAAAATGGCAACACTGAATGATAGGCACGAATTAATTTTAAATGCACCAAATTATTTAATGTAAATTCAGCAACATTCTCAAAAGTTTGGTTCTAAAATTTCAGTTCTTACTTTTACTTTTTATGTGGAAATTAATTTTGTTTTGTAGTTTCGGAATGAAAACTTAAACAAATTTAATTGCAATTTTTATACTGCCATAACCATTTACTCATGTAGCTATCGTTTATATGTAGAAGAACTCTACCTTATAAATGTGCATTCAATCGGAAAAATCGCTTTCATTCAATCTTACAGTGGCAAACGTTACAACCACGCTAATTGCGAGACGTTTCTGCCGCAGTTCTTTTTTCAGTTCCACTCACTGCATCCTAAAGTGTGCCTGAGAACCATCTTGTGGTTTACCGCTTCCCTTCAAATTTATCCTATATGTTTGTACGTAGCTATAGAAATCTGGAAGAAAGAACGTGAAAAATGTAAAACATTTTAAATCTCGTAGGGCGCCGATTTGTTTAACAATTCACGCGCTATTAAATTGAAAAACAAAGCATATGAACTGAAAAATCTGTTTTTTTTTTTGCGTAGAAAACATATATACATTTACATTTCGAGACATTTGAGAAGGCGAGGGGAGTTCAAAAAATGCACGAAATGGAACAATTTTCAATTTATGAAGCAAAAATTGTTTATAAACTTAAACATTTTTCGATGCCGTCTAACAGTCAACGATTTAGTTTTTCCTTTTCTTCAATTAAATATGATTAAAAAAAAACTTGTTGAAATTTTATTTCCTACAATTCGATTAGAGCGTTAAATGCCTTTCATATTACCTACCTAATACTACCCTATTTTGTGCCTTTTCGTCAACTTTTTGACCTCCCTTTGCAAGCAAACAGAAGTAATTAAATTTTTCATTAGCGCACACTTCACTTTTATGTAAATTTGTGCAATGATGTAGAACGATCGTGCTGAGTGAAAATCTTAAGTTTTACTAGGGAGAAAAAAAGCGCTGGATTGAGCTTCCTGTAACGCACAAAGCGTGCAATAAAAAAACTAATAATACAAACATAAATCAACAAATTAATTACTAATTATTTACTAATTTGTTAATTTTATGTAGTTTTCTGTGTTTTACTTTGTGGATCATATTCAAGGGTGCGCATGAGGTGAAATCTTTTTAACTAAAGCAAGAACAACACTCGTCTAAGAGCGGAAACACAAGTTAGAATTTTTAATGTACATGGAAAGAGAAACTAAGACGATTTATGTGGATAGGAAAACTTACTGATTGAAGTGCACAACATCCGGTTAATGTTTTGATGGGCACTGTAACTGAATATCCGAATGTTTTATGGCATTTCCGTTGTTATTGTGGCCGTTATGCCAACTACTTCTAGGATAAAAATATAGAAAATATTACTTTTACAAAGGTTGATTATTTATAGTTATGGAGATTCTCTATTCTTTTTATTTTCCACTAATGGGAGAATTGAGCTATGCATTACCACGAAATCAAAATAAACTGAGGAGCTAATAGAAATTGAAAGAAAGAAAGATAGTGCGACTAAATCAACTCTCAAAAGATGTTATAACAAAGCTTTGTTGTAGTAAATTAACGCTTTTTAGATCTTCGTCAGCGTTTCAGACCATTTTGAGAAATCTTTTCAAACTTCATCGGAACTAAGACTCAATGCTCATAAACAAATTGCAAATAAGTAAGTTTGCTGGAAGAACGACATAATACTACCCATGCGCTAAGAGGCGCTAAGGTCGGAATATTTGTAAACATAGCCAGGCGGTGCCAGGCCCAAAAAAGGTCGTCATGCGTGTATAGAAAATGTGATGGAAGATGTTTAGACCTCAGTTTCGCAGAGGCTGTACAGCTTAGAAGAAAATTGTCGCTCGAAGCGCAATACCTCGCATGAGTCTCAATGCTTGCTTACTTCACAAGTTTAATGGTGACTAATTATAGTAGAAGCTCATATTTAGTAATCATTCAGATGTTTGGAAGAAAATAAGTTCCTTTGCTGCTTTGTGAAATTTTCGGACGACGTTATAGCTAGCTTATTCTGGCGCCGAAAATCGTTATTTTTGATGCTAGAATTGTACTGTGGATGACCCCTGTTCCTGTCCTTCACCATTTTCAGGATTTGCAGGTTTTACAGGAACAGCTGTTTTCGCCTTTAATAAACCTTATGTGAACGTAACGTACGGGAACGACTTTGGACTAAATCCTGCAAAACGTGCAAATCGTAGACGTTCTGGAACGCACTAATTGATTCAATGTTTTCGCCGGTCAAATAGGCCGAATTTTGAGCCTATGTTTGAAAACTCGGCGGAGAATTATTCGTCACCTTGAGATGTTTTCCTTATTTTGCCGAAGACTTCTAGCAAATGTATGGTTGGGTGCCATTCGGAAAAAATATTTTTGCTGGTCAACAAACGGATAATTTTGAATAACGATTTAAAATTTCTTTTAAAGCGTGGGCCAGCGCTTGATTGCAACTTCAACTATAGATCGTTGCCGCAAACGACTTGCTAGAGGAGCTGGAGTGAGGGGATGTCAAGTGATCGCGTATGAAGACGACGTGGCACTTATGATTAAGGGTAGATTTCTGTAGACCCTGTATTATATGATCCAAGGTTACTTAAATTTGGCGACGCAACCCTCCCTTGAAAGCTTTCGCCTGCAGCCTTCTGGCAGGGTCAAGTATTTGGACCTGGCCTTAATTAGGAAGCTGGCATGGAAATCTAAATAGTGAAGAAGTCATCAGTTGTCTTAGATTTCTGCTGAGCAGCTATTGCCAATGGTATTTTTTTGGGTCCATTATATATACTACTTTTTATGGGGTACAACGGCCTGCTGCCAATGGTATGAGTCGTGCATTGAAGACCACTCCCACTCTGTAAATTTTTTACGCAGTCGCGGTTAAAATTAATTTTTAGGTTATGCTTTCAAGCATATTTATGTATAGTTTGAAAATCGTAAAAAGGCCAGCAAACGAGCTAAAGTCAATAAAAATTCAACAACGCAATAGCTTCATTTGGTAGCTTCCTTTATCGTTTCCAAATGCTGATTTTGATGCAACACAAAAAAAGTACGAAATAAAAAAAAAACATGGACGCTGTATTGCAACTCATTTTGATTTGCTGGAAACATGGAAATAAAAAAAATTAATATTCTCCAGTAGAAACATTTTTGGCAAGTTTTATGAGCTCAACGCTCAACGTAAAACCAAAAATTAGAAGAACAAATCTTAGACACGGGGGCGTATGCGGCTGGTAATACATATGTATTCATACTTGTAAGTATGTCTATTTATATGTATGTATATTACAAATACGAGTGACTTTCACATATGCACTGCATTTACCATACGCGTACTTACAACGTACATATATGTATGTATGTATGTATACAGCTGTACATATGTATATAAACAATTTCAACACGAAACTTTATTATTTATCAGCTTTTGTAGTTTATGAACTCATTTCGCATCACACGAAAATATTTTTACAGCCGTTTGGAAAATACACAAATTTAAAGGAAAACAAATAATAAAACTCGAACTGCAACTAGTATGTACATTGTAGTACGTAAAATCGTGCAATATTCTTGAGGTCAATACTCACGGCTAGGTGCTGAGTGGAAGAAATAGTGCCAGAATTAATTTTGTACTGTGCAATATGGCATGTTATTGAAAATATTTATTGTTATTTGAGACTTTTGTTTTTCAACTAGAATATAAAATATTCAAGGATTAATATGTATATGTATATGTATATGTAGTTACGGAGTGCAAATGCACTTTACAATTATTATTTAAAACTTATTTTTTGTATTACTTTCAGAGGGTCTCCCATTTGTACCACACATTTGCTATGTGGGTGAGAAGAACTATAAGGCTGCTGTAGGCTCCTGTTATTTCTATGAACAGGTGAAGGAGTGCTGTTGTGCGCCAGCTTTAGCTAAGCAATGTAAGTTAAATTTGTACCGATTTTAGCTAAACTTGAACTGAATATTAAATTGAGACTTAATAATAAATATGTATGTATGAGCTAACCACATATTATCCGCTAAATAACACAGTTATTCATTGAAAACTCATAACTGACAATTTTCCCGAAATTGAGTTATGTTTATATATGTATACATATGTACATGAAAAAATTGAAATTTGTACTAACTGTAATTTGAAAGTTTTAAAAATCCTTTTTCCATCAAGGGTCCAGATTTTTTATAACTTTAAAGTAGGGAAGGACTTTATCTATCTAGGATCCATACCTGGCAATGGACAACCAGCAGAGCCCTCTCTCGACAAACAAATATCACGCCCTACAAGTCTCTGTGAAGGCTTTTGGTGCTTTCGAGAGAACTACTCAACGCAGGATCTACGGCCCTATCCGCGTGGGCGACGGGTACTGAAGATGATTTAATGACGAACTGTATGAGCTTTTTAACGACATAGGCATAGTTAAGCACAAAAAAATATAACGGCGCTCCAATGAAAAGATCCTTCGCTAGAAGCAAGGGAATGGAATGACCAAGTAGGAAAAAGGAAGGACCATACATAGAAATCGTTTCTCACCGCCAGCAAATTAAAAAAAAAGATTTGATCAAATCTGTAACTCTTATCAAAATGTTTTTGCGCAGCGTGCGTAAATATACCTCCAAAAATCAGAAGAAACGTACATACATATGTTTATCGTAGAACTATTTCAGCAGAAAGTGGTCTGAGGCTGAGCTGGTAGATGCAGCATTTAAAATTTGCTTTGAGGATGAATCCTGTTCTCACCGTTGTCTAACACGTTTAGAACTTATTAGGCAAGCTGAAAGTACCTTGGCTTTTATTGGTTAGAGGCAGACGATGTCGGCGTCATTTAGAAGTTTTTGGCACTTAGGACGGTTATACTTGAATAATGAGGAAAAGAGGATTTTTCGTGCGTTATAAAAATCAAATTTAAACAATTCTTCTGCAAAGATAATTTGAGGGAATTACTTAATTGATTTGAGAAAAGTCAAATCTCAAAATAACCTGTTCCATCACATCTTTCTCGAAACATTTCTTAATCATTTCTACCTTCACATACAAATTCCCATTAATAAACGCTCGTTAAATTGAGTTAATATGAAAATTGTTGGTGGATTTTTCTTTCAACCTGTAGAAAATTTATGCGCAGGTGTTCATAAAACAAAAGTACTAAACAAATTTTTAGTGTTATATAAATTGAGTGAGTGCAAAGCATTTGAATTACGACAAAATGTATAAACAATTAGCATAAAGATGATTTACAAAAGACTCACGCACAATTTCGCTGGAGAAAATATACATATATATGTAGTTGCATATATGTACGTGCAAAAATCAATAACAATAATCAGGTTAGCTAAATAAAAAGAAATAATGATTAAAAGTAATGTACGCCCTTTAGCGAGAAAATAAACAAACAAAAATTCAATGAAAAATGAGGAGTAATGAAGAAACAAAATGTTTTTAAACAATTAACAGGAATTCCTTGAGTTGGAGATAAACATAAAAACATGTGTTAATCCAAAAACTACATACATAGAAAGGTGCCTACATATTTGCATATTGGTGGTATAGCTATACATATTAATCATTAGGGTGGGTCCACGTTTTGATGCTGCGCTAAAAAATAAAAATTAAAGTAAATTTATTTTAAGAGTTGTGGGGCTATTAAAGTCAGAAATTATTCTATAATTGAACATATGAAATATTAGGTTGAGGAAAAGGTATCTATGTATGTACCTACAGGCCTATTCTGCATTGGTAACAAACATTTTGTTACCAATAAATAAAGTTCCTGATAATTTTTAAACCCTTTTCGCATTCTGCGCACTGGTAAATTTTGTTAACATCTCATAAGCAAAACTTCAGAGCTGAATTGCTGAATAGATTAAATTGTTACCAAGGCGCTTGAGAATTGCGGTTACAAGAAATTGTGTTATTTTTTGGTAACAAAATTTTCCGGTGTCAAAATGTTCGGTAACAAGCTGCTAATATACAACTTTAAGGTCGCTTAACTTTGGTAAAATGTTTTGGACAAAGTTCACTAAATCGAACGTTATTTTGCTTTGAAAATGCAGTTCCCATAAGGCCTTTTACAACCAAAAGGAGAAAAATGCAGTACATGCTTATGGTAAATTGTATAGCTTGCCTCTTCTCAGCCAATCGTTAAAGAAGTCAATGAAATAATTAAAAAATGAAGGATGATCGACAAATTACTACAAATCCAAAAACACCAGTTTTGAAAAATTTATAGAGGTTTTTATGCAGTGCAATCAAACGGGCCTATTATGCCATCTACTCTTCGCAACACTTCGTACGGTCCTATATTTCCCAGAAAGTTTAGAAGAGCTTTTAAAGATAGGGAGTGCATGTGGTCATACTTTGAACACATTGAGTCTAGACTCTTATCCTGTCTTCTTGAATCTGCTTCTCACTCAATGAACAGATACAATGGTGTCTCTTTAGCTGAGTTGCAACAGCGACAGAGATCACTTAAATGTATCCCTAACTTATGCAAATTGATTCTTAGCCTGCAGTGCCCCGTAAAGATGCCAGTGATAATCCTTCCTTTATCTAGGGAGGCTATCTGTAGCCCTTTAGGTCGTCCACATTCCCCAAAGAGCTCATGGCATTGCGAAATCCTGCGGTACTTCGTCAGTGTTACTCTCTTGTTCCTATCATCCTATCAACCTACTGCAAAGAATGGCTAACGGTCTGTGGGAGCTGACGCCGCTGCCTTCCGGTCTAAGCCGACCGCTACCTCGTTTCATTTGGCCCTGTTAGAGTTGTTTATTTATTTATTTATTTATTTATTTTTTACAGTCTGTTAGACTTATATTGCAACAAAGATTTAACATTCTTATAATTAGATTTTAGATTTAAAATATAATATAAATATTAAATATTAAATACAAAATACAAAATGCTCTACAGAAATTTTTAAATAACATTATTTCTTTATCACTGCAATTATTTTATGTCATTATACACGCATGCAATTTCCTGGAAGTTATGTAGACGGTTGGAAAGGCCGAGTTTCCAATCCGCGCTATTCTTTTTGGGTTACTCCATTTATTGATATCTCCTGGGTGGTCAGAAAGGCCGAGTTTCCGATCCACCCAGTCGCGCTTTCGTGACGGTTAACGGTTGGAAAGGCCTAGTTTCCAATCCGCTCGTTTATTGTTTATTATCTAAGGGTCTAGGTAGTCGGAAAGGCCGAGTTTCCGATCCGCCTAGTCTCGATATCTTGGTGGTTGGAAAGGCCTAGTTTCCAATCCACGCTATTGTTGATACATCACTATCTTGTAGGCTGCGTTCTACAGTTGTCGACGTCGATGTCATTTGCGGAAAGGTGTTCCTCCTGAGGGCTATTTTTTGATGAAAAAATTACATCGAATTCGCCTCTGGCTTTACACCCAAAGCATTCAGATATCACTGCGAGCAGCAAGGGCGTTAAGTTTCTTAATATACTCAAGGACAACAGAGGATTTAACCTAAAAGGATAAGAGAGCCTTGAGTGCCGCCTGACTGTCGTTAAGGATAAGAACGATCTCATTTCCTCCATACGAAAGGATAATCTCATCCTGGGACCATAGAAACTATCGCCAATGGAGTTTTAGATGTGCACAGTTCCTCCAAAATGGAGCCACTCAATGTAGTTTTGTTACAGAGCTCTATTTCTAGTTTTTTCTTAAAAATATGTAGCTGCCTTGTTCATATCAGAGACTATGTGAGCTGGGATCCTAGCCTTTCCATGATACTAAATCTGTTATGGCAGTGCCTTGGCTTGCCGTTTAAGTTTTTCTCACGGCCCGCAGTGTATGTTATTGTCAGAGAGGATTCGTAGCAGTTCGTCCATTACTAGGCTATACAGAAGACTTTCCAGTACACCTCCTTGTGAGCATCCCTTTGTTGTCTGCAACTGTACCCTGTTTGCCCTTCTTATTCTTAATACTAGGTATGACAGTAGTAGCCTCGCTTCAACAGCCCCGGGTTTGAAGCTATCTACCGTACGTGTTTTGCACCAATCGAAGAAGTTGAACGCCAGAGAGCCAACATTCTCCATACTTCATATTCTATTAGGCGAACTCGGCTTGCATCAAGCATATACCTTGTAGCACGTACCTTTCTCCGCCCAACGACCATTGGTTTCAGTCTATGAAGAATTCTTTTTTGGTGCGAATCCGACTTCAAAAACGCGTTATAAGAATCACTTACTTAATTCAGTTTTACGCAAGGAAATCTTAGAAGTTCTACGAAATAATAGAAAAGGGGTAGAAAGTATGCAAAATATGGTTTTGGATTCGATCGGAAAACCGCAGTTTTCTTGGGCAGGCGCCCTAATGTAAGCCTCCCAACTAGACAACATACATACATAAAGACATACATAAACAGATACATACCTACAACTGTGCGTACATCTTTGCTCCCATACTTAGCGCCTCGTCAGCTCATTCAGGCATGCCGTCTGGCTTTGCACAAATTTATTCATTTAATTATTTTTTTTTGTTCTTTCCGTTCTACTCAGATTTTAATTCTCTTTTTGATTCCTCATAAATTTGTTTACATTTAGGTGTGCTGCTTCTAGTATTGCACGGATATCGGGGGTATTTGTAAGTCGTTATTTATTATCCCAATGCAGTAAATGTGGCACAAACACTTTCACCGCAATGAGGTGCGTGGGAGCCGCTATAACAACAGTCCACTCTTAGCCCTCCAACTTTATTAATTGTGTGCAAAGGAGTGTGTAGAATTTGAGTAAATTTATTGGCAGCGTGGCAGCGAAACTCGTTGTTGGAGAAAGATGAACCATTAACATTCTAGATAATATGCATTTATGAAGCTATTGCACATAGCAAAATGGTTCATTAAGTTTTTTTAGATAATGTGCTATTCGAATATTTCAAGAAACCATTTTTGAAATGATATAAACAACTTTATATACATACATACATACATAATTCTTCGATAAAGATACATATGTATGTGTTATAGTTTTAAAAAGTCCAAGTGACAATCGATTTCCCATTAAATACAATCGCAATGATGCAAGTTTATTAATGCACAATTACTCCTTCCATAGCACAGTGGATCAGGAGCGCGATATTTTTGAAAAAGTTAACAACTCCTAAAATGCGAGAATAGCTCAATTATGCTATCTATTGTTTTTCCAATCGCTGATTACGAATCTAAAATCACTTTTCAAAAATTCAAAATGGCGGATCCAGCATGGCGGTCATAAAATCTAAGAAGTTAATAGATTTTCATAAAACTTTGTATTGATGGGTTTTTGGAGTCTTTGATAAATTTTCAAAAATTCTTTGTGATGAAACTAATATGGCGTTTTTAAAAATATGTACATAGAATTTAATAGATCTTCTTGTTTTTTTGAATTCGTATCCGCAATTATTAATTTCAATATTTGAAAACCTTATGCATGTGGCTCATTTATTTAAGCACTCAGGATGTGCCACGAGAAGGCTCCTTATCCGACTTAACATCCAGTTTTTTTTTTGTCAAATGTCAGTCAATTTAATCCTTTGTTAATTTGCATTATGAAGAACGTAGTCCTGAGTCGACGGCACAATAGTAAAAACTATTTTTAACCGACTTCAAAAAAAGGAGGAGGTTATCAATTCGTCGGAATATTTTTTTTTATGTATGTTACCGCATAACTTTGGACCACGTCAACCGATTTCGAAAATTCTTCGGAAAGGTAGTGTCTCAGAGGTGGTCCCATACTAATCTGGTTTAGATCCGATCATTGGATCATGAAAAAATTAACGGTACTCCTAAATTTTTATTATCGTGGCCCACTGTGCATTGTCTTCCCAAACCACAATGTCCTGATATAAATTAAAATTCAAGTCTCATCTTCAAACGCGCAGGTTAGTCATCTGCATAGATGTAGCAGAAGTCTCAAGACCTGCAAATATTTACTTCTGTATTATTTTATTGCTTTTTCTTTTGTGTTTACATTATCATTTTATATTCTTAATTTTTTTTTTAATAAATTCATAATATGGATTTCTTTCTCTCTTCCTTTATTACGTCTATTGACTCATTGCTATACAAATATGTAAATATATATAGCTAATAACGTCCGCCCTTACTTGTATTGCTTTTCAAAAAAAGCGAGAAAACAACAACAGTAATCATTGCTATGTATGTACGTTTGTACTTACCAATGAGTCAATTTCCTTTCACAAAAAAAATGATAACTACATTAATCCTTGTTTTGTCACCATTTAATTGTTTAAATTGTACTTTTAATGAATTGGAAGTGTTTGGCTATGCATTCAAATAAACACAGATATTTGTGGTGCGGAAATTACTCAATTCACGTACATTTATGTACATACGTATGTATGTATATGGATTTTAACTTATTGAGAATTAGCCCCCGGAAGCTTCCGTATTGCACTACTGTACACAAAACTATTAAATTCTTCTAATAATTATATATAATTTCATTTTATAAATACTAAATTTGCATCCAACAATCTTCTCTTTCATTACAGGGCGACACATTTCTACAGCTCCTCAACAGACGAGTGCTAGTTCCTTACTGCTGCTAACTATAGTAGCGCTTATCTTCAACGTCGCACGCAGACATTTCATTAAATAAGCTTTACAATTAGAAATTTAAACTTTATTTTAGTTTGATGTTTTTAAAACAAGAAACCAAAACTTAAATATTTACTTATGTGACGTAGCCGTCATTCGAAGCACACATTAGTCAGTGTAACAGAAAACGAGTGTGTTAAAAACTAGTTTTAACTCAACTTTTTGAAGCTGAAAGTTGTCGTGGAAACTTTTTTAGAAAACACATTAAAAAAACAACGCCATATTTCATGTAACTGCAAAAATTGCGTATAATGGAATTTAGAATATAAATATTCTGAAATTTATTGTTTGTTTTTATTGGGGTGTAAATATTGCCAACTCTTAACGCAAGTGTACAATTAACCAATTATTTTGTTGTCATAAATGGATGCTGTTGTCATAATTTCGAACTTAAGAATGTTTTTAATTAATTTTAAATTATCGTAAGTACAAGTGTATGAATATATGTTTAATGTATGTTTTATTGTATAAACAAAACGAAATCAAAATTGTAGTATGAATGCGTAGTAGTCTGTAATTATACTAAATTTCGTTAAGTTATTGAAAACAAAATATTATTTTCGTATAAATAAAATGAATGTACAAGATAAATGCGTGAAAATTACTAAGAAAAATCAATAAAGTATATTTATTAATTTTTAGAGCATGAATGTACATTAGGGTGGTGAAAAAAAAAAATTTAGTCGTAATTTTAATGCCGCCACCCCCTAGGATTGTTCTATACCCAAACAAAAAAAAAATACACCCCAATTTTTTATTTTGAAACCAAAAAAATATTTAGGGAGTCCTCAAAGCGCTCAAAGTTTTCCGTGTATTATACTCTTCGTAGAAATGGTATAGAATTCTTGAAAATCAATATTTTGCGATCGGAAAACTCTGCTTCTCTTCAGAAGATTCCCAATAATAATACCCAGTTGTTTCTTTAACCATTTTTTCATGCCCCCAGAAAATGCAATGCAATAAAAAATCTTAAGTATTAAAAAATTGCGCAATAAACAATTGGATGTTAATATTGGAAGTCTCCTGAAGAGAACCAGAATCGATCGAAAAATATTGATTTTTAAGAATTCTATACCATTTCTACGAAAAGTGGTTTTTCCCCCATATAAAATACATACATGGAAAATTTTGAGCGCTTTGAGCACTCCCTAAATATTGTTCGATTTCAAAATAAAAAACAGGGGTATTTTTTTCCATATAGAACAATCCTGGGGGGTGGCACCGATAATAATGTCAGCATGTAAATCCAACACAGAATCACGCTTGCCACCAAGAGCTACTATGGACAGTGTAGGCAATTCAGGAGTAAAGTCCTCTCTCATGTAAGTCACTCATCATGCCCGTGCTGGTATATGGCGCAAAAGCATGCACAATGACAACATCCGATGAGGCGGCTCTTGGGAGTATTGGAGAGAAAGATTTTGCGGAAGATTTACGGGCCTTTACGCGTTGGCGACGGCGAGTACCTCAGACGATAGAACGATGAGTTATATGAGCTTTACAATAACATGGACATAGCGCAGCGAATTAAAATACAGCGCCTCCGCTGACTTGGCCATGTCGTTCGAATGGACACCGACGCTCCAACTCTGAAAGTAATCAACTCGGAACCCGCTGGTGGGAGCAGAGGCAGAGGAAAGACCAGGTATAGAAGGACTTGGAGTCACTTGGCATTTCCAATTGGCGTCAGTTGGCACAGAAAAGAAACGACTGGCACGCTTTCTGGAACTCGGCCAAAATCGCTTAGGCGGTTACAGCGCCAAAAAAGAAGAAGAGGAGATTTCATTTTAGAAAGCCGATAACCGATTCTATAACTTTTTTAAAGGAAAGGATGTACCTCAGAGGTGGTCCCAGACTAATTTGGTTTAGATCCGATCATTGGAGCATGAAACAATTAAGGGTACTTTTAAATTTTTATATGAGAATTGAAGTCGGTTTTGGGTTTTGCTTAAAAATTACTTGTTTATAATTTTTTTATAAAAAAATTTGTCATGCACTAACTAAATTAAACTTTCGCAAATTTATTCAATATCTGAATATTTTAGTACATTTCCGGGTATGCAGCTTTATAGTCCATCAAATTTTATCAGATAAAAAATTGCATTGATGTAAACTTTTTTGTTGACGAATTTTTGCCCTTTTTTCCATATAAACATAAATTTCTTATGCAATAAAAAAATGCAAAAAAATAGCGCCAGCTTTATTAATTGCATTTCGACGGCTGTGCCCTATCTGAGAAAACTTTTCAAGAACACTCTACAGAATTTGGTTCAAAAACGCCCTATCTCAGCTGCCGTTATATTGAACTTACGTTGGGATAGGGCGTTCTTCAACCAAATTCCGAAATAGGGCGCTATTGAAAAGTTTTCTGAGATAGCGTGTTTTCGAACTGGCTGCCGAGATAGGTCGCTCTTCCACTCAGCCGTCGAATTATTATATAAAAAAATGCGTGAGTATCAAGTACTCATGAAATTTGATTGACAAGTTAGAAATAAAACATTAATTTCACATCTATTATTAGTGATGATGGTCCTTAACTAGGCCCAAAAAGATCCCGAACTAGTCCCGAAACGTTCTTGAACGAGTCCCAATATGGTACCCAAATAGTCCTGCACAGGTCGCGAAACGATCCCAACCAAGTCCTCAAATAGCTCTGAATGCAAGAAGTAATTACATGTTCTCTGCTGCATTCCACAAAAACCAGTTACAAATTTTCGGTTGGGTTAACGCAAATTTTACCAACATATATCGAGAGCTAAGATCTTCAAAAATCAACATGTGATCACTTGTTAGAGTCACTGTACATATCGCACATGATCTTCAAAAGAGGCACAACTCAAAAAAAAGAAAAAAAGAATAAAAAATAGGTTGATTTTTTTGCAGAAATTCGTGGGATTTATCTCCAGTGAATGCAAATATTTTTTTCTTCATGATACTGCAAAACTAATGTTATATGGTATCACGGAAATACACTCTGATAAGTAAAGGTGTGTTCGAAATGAAGTTGAACTGTAGGTTTGAGGTTTGAGCTCGAAACTACGCCGACAAGCGTCCACCAATGAGATAATTCACAGGCTACTGCTTTACTTTTTCAATGTCTTCGAGTATAACTGTGTGGGTTAATGTGTGAACGGCCGTCGTCTCACATGAACGATATTGGTTAACAATCCGATTTATTCGCGTGAGCAATAACTGCTCTGCACGTAGACCCAACTGCTTTAACTGATGCCTTACATATTTAGCTTTTTTGGCGACGAGAAAGTACAAATCAAGAACTTGTACTAGTAAAAATGTAAACATTTAATTATATTCATATTATTTAGAATTTTTAACAGTTTGTGAAAACATATGACATGAAAAAATAAAGTAAATTACACATATACGGTATTAATAAAAGAATTAGTACCACCCGATACTCATTCGCTCCTTCAGTGGGATAAAATAACGTGCCGCCGTATTTTAATAAAGCAACATTTTTCAACTTAAAATTATTAAAATATTAAAAAGAATAATACCAAGAGTAAATGTAAGTATTAATATAATGAATGATTTTGCTTAAAAATAAAATGAAGGCATGCAATATGGCTGATTTTTAAATGAGCAGTATATAAAATGTATGTTAAGAAAAGCGTACTTTTTATGGCTTAAACATTAATCAATTAATTTGTTCGTTTGCTGTTTACAAATGTAGCTGAAATATTTTCGATACTAAGCAAGGTGTGCATGCATCACCCTGTCGCGACTCAAGGGTTCCTTAATATGTATTTATGTAAGTATGTACAAATATAATGTCGATTGAACTTAAAAACTACATATAGGAATACATAGGCAAACCTAAATACATACGTTTTTTTATGAGTTTATCAATAATTTGTGATTGCTTTAGTCACTTGTCTTTAGGATCACAATTAGCCACTTTATACAGCTTTAAAAATTTCATGCAGAGTATGGCAACTTTAAAATAAATACGCTCTATTTAAAAAGTATATAGATTAAAAGGAAAACATTTAAAAACGAACTATCATGCGGATAACTACGGCTCATCAACGTGCGCGCTCGCTCAAGTCCTTAGTTAAAAAATCCTACAACTACTTATTGTATATAACGAACAGGAAAATACTATAGCGTTGCGCGCCCCTTTGAAATCGCTTTGTTCAATGCACTCAGACATGATTGCACATCTTCGTAGTCTCGGGTCCATTCGAGTAAATTTCGTTCGACCGCATGTAGACGTATTGTTCCCAAACGTGCTCCGCCATTTTTCAACGCTGCAATGCAATGGCATGCCAGCAGCTTGAAGCACTGGCGTCGCATTACATTATGTGTAGCGCTATCCCAGTACGGTGTCGCACGTACAATGGGCCAAGCCATGGTGATATAGTCCAGTAATGCATCCCAATTTCCTGAGTCATATAATTGTTTGGCGTGCCCGCAGAGTAGACGTTTGAATTCACTGAGGTGCAGCGCGGCACGCGAATAAGCGCTGCTGTCTGTCTTCTTACAAAGGCGTGAAGTAGGTAGTGAGCGAAATATTTGTCTCTTAGCGTGCAATAATTCTTCTTCCAGTGGACTGGAAATAATTTAGAATGATTTTGAATAAAAACTTCATTCATTTAGATGCTACTTACTTTATATCTGGAATGGGCAGCCGTGACCGCAAACGCTCCTCAGTTTTTGTGTCTCCCGCCACTAACTCTTCAACAATTAGTTCAATAAGCTGTTGTTGCGACATACCTTTCAACAACATAGGCAATGGTGTTTCTCCATTCATTTGTGCAATTGGTTTATTGCTATCTTCACCGTCCAGTCGCAATTTTTTTGCCAACGGTGTACCTGGTGGCCATAACTGCTGTTTCGCCTTCGTTGGAGAAGCCATTACTGGTGATTCAGGTGCTGGAGGCGTGCTACCCATTGTAAGGCGCTTACGGGGTGAACTGCGCAAGATCATGCTCGTACTTAGTGGCACCTTTGTTGGTGTACGTTGGAAGGGCATACGTAGTGGCGTACTTCCTGCGTCTGGAGAAAGACAAGTATTAAAACGTCGTCGACCGCGTTGGCGTATAATCAGCTCATCCGGCGAGGGCATTGGAGACATATTATCCTGAGAAAGTGCTACATTCGTAGTGTTGTCTAAGAGATGGGGGGTGTTAAATATTGTTGCTGGTGTTGGCTCATTCGGGCTATGTCGATTTGGTGCTGTTGTTGGTGTCGTTGCGCCTCCACTTGCAAAACGTAAAGCCTCCAAGCGACTAGGTATTTCTGAGAGTGCAATACGCATTTGCTGTTGCTGGTGCAGCTGCTGCGGAGTCGTTGTAGTAGTCATCCTCTTTTCTATATTCAAGCCCTTATAATTTGTGACAATTAGTTGAAATATTTGCACTTTCAAGGATTTTGCGGACGACGCGCTTGGGTTTTCCTATTCCTTTTTGATTTCGTACTTCGGTGGTGAAATGTGAATCGGTTAATTAGGTCGGTGTTATGCAGACAAACTTTTGTTTGCCAAATTAAATGGCGGCTGCTTAGTTTGCTCGGAGGTGGTTATGCCGAGTTTGGCACAGGGTTGCACGTTCATTATGGTTTTCATGGCTATTGCCGGCACGAAATGAGAATTTCAGATGTACATAATGCGCACAATTAATATATTTTTTATGATATCGTATAGGCAACTAACTGTGCCCTAATCTTTGAAGCTCCTACAGCTAAATTAAGTTCTCTGGCTTTCGGTATCACGGCAATTTTATGTGTATAGCAACAATTGTCTAAAATTTTTGTATATGACAACACCGAATTTGCTGCAGTTTGACCAAACAAAATTAGTTTGCTGTGAGAGTCGCCAAACTCGCTCTCTCCGAGTTTGCTGCAACAACAATTGCACGCAGTTTGCCAAGCAAAATTTCTGCATAACACCGACCGTAGAAGCTAGAAGCACGGTTGCCACTTGTTATATAAATAACCAATCAAAATCTGAAGAAAAAACAACTAAATTGAAAAAAAGAACCAAATTTGTTATCTACTTATCTATTACAAAAAGTGAAATCAAAAGTTGAAAAATTTTATTGAGCTTGAAGTCGGATTTTTAAATTTTCTGGAAAACCTACATTAATTTACATTTTGGTACGCTCTTTTTGGTTTGTGTCACTGATAATATGGCAGTACGGTTTGGTAGCACTGTGAATGAATTCACAAACATATATTCTGCCACTGCTTCTTTTAACTTGATTCAAATAAATTTCCTTTACGCTAAATATTTGTTTAAGTGAATATTCAACCTAATCATGAGTTTCATTTTCCCCGAACCGGTTCACTTTTCACTTTTGGTTTCCATGTCTGGGTGAATTTTTTTCGGGCGAGATTCAGGATAAGGGAGATTATTTCGTTTAAATGTACTTTTCCCTATTTACTGAGGTAATTTTTATAATTTCGTCTTTCTCATGCTAGTAGTATAAAATTAGTGCCGCCAACTCCAATAAGAATGATCCAGACCGTGTCCGTGAGAAATGATTGTCATACTGAGCTGCAGCCGGATTCCAACTTTCGCTATCGCTAATATTGATCGCCAAAAATTTCCAAAAGAATAGCAGGCGGGCTGAACAACATGCAACATCTACTTACATGTCCCGCATACTGCCAACTTTGGCTGATTGCACATTTTTTTCTATTGCTTTTCCATATTACATACTTTTAGGCCTCCCTGATTTTCATTTAGATAATTTTGGCGATGGAAATTTAGCCAGCGATTGCCAGAATTCCACTGCTGGATAACCTAAATAAACACAACTATTGTCTAATGTAAACACGCCGTAAAGGCGATTCATATACATTCACCTTGAGGTGTAATTAACCGTGAACCGGTTATTGGCACTTTTGATAACGAAATGCAACCATGTGATTCCCGCCGTTGCGTTGTTAATCGATTATGGGTTCGATTAATTAGCATAGGAAGTTCGAAAGATTCAATAAATTTTTGTAGAGAAAAACCCGATTATTCTAATCCCATTCCTACTTGCTGAAAGCAACGAAGTTGGAACAAAAACAAATCACAAAAAATCAAAATTCCAAATTTTAGCTCGAATAGCAATGGAAACGCCTCAGAATTCCACCGCTAGCAAAGGTAAGTTTGCGGATATTATTTTAATATAGAATTTCACTCACTGATAGCAATTCCGACGCAAAGAGTTTGAGGTGACTGGTGTGTCTCGTAGTGGACGCGTACGCAAAAAATCATCCAAACTGCTCGACTTTCAGTCACCAGATGAAGTGGAGAAGAAACTGAAAAGAGCGGCAAAACCCCCGGCGCGTAACGGCAATGTTCGTGGCAGAAACACTTTGGGTAGTGTTGGGCGGCCAGCACGTAGACCCAACCTGAATATTAGGAGCGAGTTGGGTGGTGGTGATATGAGTGATTTAGCTGAAGACGATAATGAATTGCATGATGACATGAGCGATAATGAAACAGATGGTGAAAATTTTGGTGATATAAATACCCCACCAGGTGATTCGGATGAAGATCTCAAGGAGTTAGTTGCTGGCATTGTCGATGCTGAAGGCATCGATAGCAACGGAAATCCAGAGTCAAAAGTGCGCCAAAGTTTGTATATGACTGAAAAAGCAAATAAGCGGAGAGTATTGAAAGACGGTCGAGTTGTTACGGGGAAGGTAGAGCGCAAGGACAAGGGTAAAACACGCTATACAGCGTACAGCATGTGGGCACGTGAGCTACGAAAATCTGGCAAATTAGGCAAAGGACAAGATTTAGGTAAGTAAATAATTCCGAATAAAATCAAAATTAAAAAAAAAAAAATGGTTTTCGTAGATTTTTCAAATACCGCCAAACGTCTCGGAGAATTATGGGCGAACGTTTCAAATAAAGAGAAAGATTCGTGGAGACGTAAAGCCAAAATTCAAGCTACGAAAGCGAAATCAAGGGATAGTGTAGTTACGGTCCCCACTAATCCTTATATGTCGTATTTTAAACCTACCACGAGTCGCACCAAAAAGATGGCTGAAGACGGACAACAGTCGCCACAATCAGTTACAACATTAGCAACTATGAGGGCGAAGCCGCGCGGTAATTCTCTATCCATAGCTGACAACGTCGGCGGTTCACCAACCTCTGGTTTGACAGCAAAACGCAGACGAAATAATAGTAGTAATCGTGGCAGTATGGTAGCAGGCAACAACAACCTTTCCTCACCTGCGCTTCACACCAACAATATCGGCGCAAACAATTTAGCAGGCATCACGTCAGTCACTTCACATAACACAAATTTGCACAATAGGAAGACGGCACTGCCAAACATAGAACCTATTGATACAGCCGCGCATCTCAAGCTGCTCGGTGAAAGTCTTACTATAATCGGTGAGCGCCTTAAGGAGCATGAGGGGCAAATTGCTGTGTCTGGTAGCCTTTCCGTGCTGCTGGACAGTCTGCTTTGCTCGCTGGGTCCGCTTCTGTGCCTGACTACACGCATACCTGGTTTGGAAAAAAAGCCCCAATTGAGCGAGAACTTATCGGTGACATTGGATAATATTGCGTATGTTATGCCGGGTCTTTAGTCTGCTAAATTTCGATTGGATAGATGTATTTTATTTGCTAATATAGTTGATCTTTTCTTAGCTAGTAAGTAATGCACGTATCAAGCAAGTGTTGTGAGAATGTAGAAGAAATAAAACTTTGTATGTAGGTTTTGACTTACAAATGCATATTTATTATAAATTATATTACTAGATAAAGCAGTTAACTAAAAAGGGAATGATTAGATAACATCGTTGAGCATTGTAGTCGCAGCTAAATAGTCCTTAGAGTCAGGGTAGGTCAATAATCTTTGAGCTCTTTATATAAGTAATATTCGATAAGTGGGTTAAGTACAAATTAGTGGAAACCTTATTCAATTTTGATCTACAACCTTGTAAATTATTTAACGTAACTGATTTTTTTTTTATTTTATTTTTTTTTAAATACATATATGTATGTGCATATGTATATTATCCATAAATAAAATTTGTCTTTTGAGTAAAATTTAGTCTAAATAATAGTAAAAATCTCAAACCGATATACTAGTCCTAAAACAATTACCAACCACAAACTAACATACATATGTACATACTTGCCTATACTAAGGTCTACAGTAGGTAAGCAAATTCAAATATTGCCTATATTGCAACTCAACTTTTTGGAGTTTTTGGAAATAGCAGCGTTTCGAATTTTTAGTTTACATCAAATAACATAAAGGAACAATTATATAATAGGTCAAAATTGGCCATACAGGAATGTTTGCATAGAGGAGTATAAAAGGAATGTTTTTTTTATATAGTCTCCCCTCTAAAGGTCACAGGATGATCATGTTTATAAGGTCACTCTGGGTTACAGCAGTCGGTTGGTGAGGGCACTCGTTATATGTAATTCATTACTTTTCATTAATTTATAATTGCTGGGACAGAGCAGCGGCTGATATATTATCACCAGCACCAGCAGTTTTCTTAGCTACACGGCACACTAACACTGGTGCTACACAGATTTCGATGGGTAATGATTTTTGCTGATTGACAGCAATTGTTTCATTCCAGCATGGCACAGGTTGTTGTGGACTGAACTGTATGCGCCTAGCAGCATCCTTGTCCTTTGCTGTAGTAGCAAAACTGTCATCTAAGACTAGTGATGCGGC